TACCTGCAGTGCCGATATAGGCGTTAAATCGATATGTCGCGATATATCGATTTATAGCCCAGTCCTAATCACCATACATGTCTGTTTGAAAATGCACTAACGATATCCTGGAGAATTGACTGCTGAGACTATCACTGGTTTTTTCACCATTAAATAAAATTCTCATTTCAAATCATAAGCGCAAATCTGATTTAAACACTTAAATACATAAATTAAAATTCAAACTGAAAGCGTTACAACGCGTGCAGGGTACAGCTAGTAACTAATAAATCATGTTTTATTACCAACCTTTTTTACAGTTTCCTTTTCTAAGTATTGCATGGTTTGTCAAAACGAGTTCGGTACTTATTAGTTATATAAAAATGTTCACTTTATTTTTGTACACACGTTTTTACTGTTTGTGTCGAGCTTTTACTCTATAAGTGTCACTCAATGTTAGTTTTATGAGTTAAAATTAAGCATCATATTATTTTAATAGCAATCTGTTTTCACCTTATGTTCGTTCGAAATAACGCTATTTAAGGAAGTAGAATAACAGATCGGTCATAAAAATTGTTGCAAAGTCAGGAGAGTAGTTGCCATTTGATCGTAAAATAGAACCGAAAATATTTTCCACCCCATTTTCTGAAGGAGGGAAAGAACATACTTTATGAACTCACATTACGTTTTTTGATTCATGCTCACTTTGGCAGGGAATTGTGTGGATAGTTAAATCGGGGCATATATTATGAGTGGAAAAAAGGATCTTCAAAACATCAAGGAAATAACCTTTGTTTAAATAATACCGAACTGTTTTTTTTTATTTATTTCATTTCATCATTCATTTTGGAAAAAGTTAATTTAAAAAGTGGACAATTTAGGTCAACTTTCACAATAATACAAATAAGAATACATGAAAGAATCTAATATAAGTATGAAAATTGAATTAAAGAAAAACGAGGGCCGGAATTTAAGTAAAATATACTCAAGATAGAAAAGTGCTATAAGCAGCTAAAATCGAAATTGTCTTAAGCAAACAATTTACATAAAAATGTAACAATTTAAATTTAAACAAAACAAATTTTAAAGATACGCATGTTAACCATAAACAGTACTACATTAGGGAGCTGGCAAGGCAGTGTGTCCCTGATGAAGTACTGCTTTTGCTAACATGCGTATCTTTAAAATTTGTTTTGTTTAAATTGATACATTTTTATTTAAATACTTAAAAGAAATCATATCATGATCATAAATTATCAAATTGGTACTTATTTTAGGGAAAATTTTCCGACTTCACTTTCTCAATGCTGCTGACGAGATATCTTGAAAAATCCCGCAAAAAACGCACTCTTTCTGACCCTCCTCTTTGAGGGAGGAAGCTTAGTTCATTTATATTGAGTCATTATCAAAGCGATTAAAACAAAAACACCTTTTCTGACAATTTTTCCTCCAAATACTAGACTAAAGTGGTCTTGGGAACAACTGTAGTGTTTTCTTTTATTGCAGCACTCATTTATTTTCGATTAGAAATGCAATTTTGTAAGTAATAAGAGCAGTCATAAATTGGGACCCACATATTTTCTTATAAAAAATACAATTAACGGAATTACATTTTAATTTTTACATTAACTCATCTTAATATTAATGAAGGAAATAACGAATTACCTTTTTAGTTTACGTGTTAATAATGCAGTAGTCGAAAAAAATACATTTTTTTTGTAGTTGACTACAACTACTATTTTTTTTAAAAAATGAAATGACTACACACTATTTACGAAATGTATCCCTTTTTCACTATGTTTAGAAGACAAACTTTCCTGGCGAACTCGAACCACACTCAAGTGCAAAATGATTTTGAAGAAAAAATTGTCTTTGAACATGAGGAATCATCAAGAATTACTTATTCGTGTTTACATGAGCCAATTTGTTATTCCATAAAATTTTTTACGAATTTGTTCATTTAACCCTGAACTTCCTTCCTCAATAACGAATATATAATTTAAGATATGCAAGGAAATTATCAAATATTCTCGAGTTTGTTAAATGTTCTTTTATTTCCCTTAAGAGAAATAAAATACATCGAAAATTTCAGAGAAAATATGACATTCAAATAACATCAATGTTTCAGGAGTTTACATTCGCACTTGAAAGTGATAAATTAGCTATTATTGGTAATAGCAAGTATAAATATTAGAAATACATAATTCTAAATATCTAATTCTTATTAACGCTTAACCACAGGAGCATTGACGGCCCGAAGATATGCACTAAGCAGATTCGAAAAATCAGCTGCGTTTAAACCTATTTTTTTTCTACTAAACTAAAGTTAAAAGTAACTGCCTGGAATTGCTACGAACAACTGCTTTTTTGTTCCCAACACTACCCCACTTTTTTTTTTTAGAAGTAGCATATTATTCTACAAACTAGGAAGAAAGTAGCGTTTACAGTAGTTTCACAACTTGTACATCCGACCACTAAATTTATTAAATAAGTCTTATTGAAATTGAATCTATTGTTCTATCAAAATTAAAATTTTTCGCTTATTCAAAAACGTGAGGTAAAGTTTTGTTTCGTCCGAGCTGTCTTATTAAGGATTTTAGTTTTTTTTAAATATTTATTTCTTATAAGTCTTTATTTTTTGTTTGAACAAAGTTGCATGGAGAAACTTACACACCCCACTTACAGACTTTAACTACAATACAAATTTTAGCGAAATAGATTGAATAATTTTAGAATTGAATAATCTTAGAATTAAAGTTTAACAATACGATTTTTTTAAAATTTTATTATTCTGACATAATTAGACTGATTTCTTTCACATTTTGTATTTTGTCATTTAAAATGACATAGTTTGAAATGGTGTAAAAATTCGTCAATCTTACAATTCAAAAACGTTTCGAGTATTAGCAAAATAAATAATTATTGAGAATTATTTTTTTCATGGAATTATCTTGGAATTACAATTGCGCTCCAAAATTTTTCGATTTGCTTTAAATCTTCCCCAGATATGGCGAAATATGAAATTAGCATCAAGAAGATCGAACTTTCGATGTGGATACTTTCCAGATTTTGTGGGATCTTCCTGTTAAACAAAAAGGGATATCCTTTCAGTGAAAGTACGTTTCTGTCTTTGATTTGATAATTAAAAATATGATCTGCAGTAATTGATTAGCATGTTTGAGGTCATTCCTTTAAACCAACAAGATATGAGTTCAATTAGATGAGAGATAATAAGATGTGAAACATCCGATTCATAGAACACAAGCTATGTCTCTTTTTGCTCACTGTATATTATGGCACGGGATTTCATAACATTGAATGGATGCGTAATTAACATATTTTCAATAGTTGGTAATAAGATCCTTGTCTTCGTCTTACCTATTTTCCGCAAGCATTTTTACTTCTTTCCCTCCTACTTTTATAATCAATTTCTGAAGTAAGAAAGTATATTTCCTCTGCCTGTAATTCCTTTTTCCCCGCTGGCATACACGTAATAAAGTTTTTGATAAACACGCCCCGAATTCCATTAGTGGCTCCTTGCAGATGTGTTCCAAGAGAAGATCACTCAAACCTAGTTTTAATTAGCGAGTCGATTTAACTACATCCGATCCTTAACAAACGTCTTTTAAGCAACGTCCTTTCCTTAACCGTCTTCTTTATTAAAAGCTTTTGTTTAGAAAGGCTTGAAATTCGTTAGAAACTCAATAAAGTGTTTGGTACTTGAGGAACGATATTTTGTAGCATTGGTTTGGGTCAATTCATTTGAATCTGACTCTTGAGAAAAAATGAAAGTCGTTCATAAGATTAAAAAAAAAATGTCTT